TACAGATATCTGGATCCAACTGATAATCTTAACGTTAACCGATACAGATCTAGTTTTTTCAAAATCATCATCTGTGGGATTCGAACTCTAGACCTGCCATTTGAGGGTGTGACAACTCCACCACTTCACTAAGTCGCCACACCCCATGAATTAATAATTTAACAATAATTTCTAAATAATTAATAAATGAATTATCCAATATGTATAAACATCATCGAAGAAAATGATTCTATAAAATCATTGGTCACATAAATTAAAATCTGCAGTGAAAGATTCTGTTGCAGAGAATTTCTACGGGAACTATTATCAGTTAATTTTTTATCACTACAAAATCATTCTTACATTAGAGTACATAAAAAACAATGGAAAATATGATTAATCGCTGATTACATCATTCTATCGATACTTTCTATGCATTTTGGATAATTTAATTATTAATTGTTAGAAATTAATTATTAATTTAACAATTCCCTATTAACAATTAAAAATTAGAAATTCCCATCGCTATGTGACAAATTGTGTGACTGATATATATTTAGCATGATGAATAATATCACGGGATTAAACTTGTCTTGATGTTGATTGGTTGATTTTGTAGTTTACGCGTAAATCTACGTATAAATATTCTTTTTTCTTTTTTTTAAACGACAGTATATATTTTTCTTTTAATATTTATTCGAGTTTTCTCTTTTGTGAGCATTATTGTTAAAATTGTTTTTTTTCTCTTTACACCTGAAGCCCCCACTATGTTTTTGTTTATCTGTTGAATATTGTAAGTATATTATTAATATTTTGTTTTGAAATTTGAGTTTAAAAAATAAATCAATCCATATTTTTTGGGTTCGATCAATGTTTATCTGCAAAATAAGATAAAGTATATAATATTTATGATATTTACAAATTAAGTTTTTCTCCTGCATAAGGTCTACTGTTTCTGAAGAAAGAGTTAATTATGTACCTTGTTGCATTAAAAAAGCTTTGCAAAATAATGGAAATTATTCATAAGAAAGTAAATCTATTTTTATTTAATATATTACTTTTTTTCAACGTGGTTCTCAACGTGGCTTGTGCTGCAAGGGGTTCTCAGTCTCTTACACCTAAATGAGATACAGGTGTAGGTGGGTACGACATCCTTCTTAAGTTTCGTACCACTCTATTCCCAAGTTTCTCAATGGGTATAATTCCGTTTCCTTATTTCCAAGCTTTTTAAGGTTCGGCATTATAGTCGTTGTATGACTCTGGCATCACATAAAAACTTTCCAAGGTTTTTATTATATAATCCGTAATTGTTGGCGTTATGTAAAAAATTTTTTTTTCAAGGTTCCAAGTTGGTTGGATTCTTGGTCTTATATCTTTGATATCATTGATTCCAGCAAGGGTCAATATATTTTTTTAAGGCCCTAAGTCGGTTGGATTCTTAGTCTTATGATCTTGATTTTGTTTGTTCGATTTAACAACAATTAATTTTTGTGTTCTCTTTCTTAGTTTATCAATTTTCGCTATCAAAATAACTATTCCTCCAGTAGATTTGTCCAAGTTATAACTAAAGATACTGATATTAGATATATTGCATAGTTGTAAGAAAACAGCTATTCGATCTGATGAATGTTCGCATCCACAGATCCATCCTGAGCAGTTTAAGTATTCAAACCATTAGCATCATAAATAAATTCGATCATAATTTAAGTAATCATTAATGTAGAATTCACGGGTGAAAATTAAATTTTTTTTTTTTAAGGTTTAATTATGAAGGTTCCGTACAAAATTTATAAATGCCTGATACAGTAGTCCTGTTTTAGGAAACCCTATTGAGGGGTCACCAAATAATGAATTTTTAAATCTTAATTAATATAATTCATTTTTAATGGCTCGATTATCTAAACGGCACCTATAGTCAAACTTAATTTACCAAAGTTTTATAACCATTTCCTAATTTTCTATTGTTACGGTATATATTTTCCAATATCAAAATACAATAAATAGATTTATTTGTTCTATAGTATACAAGTTTATGAGCACTTAAGTTTTATTTAAATATCATGTCCCTGAAGATCAACGTACTAATCAAGCTGCAAAAGTCTTATGCTCAACATTTATAAGTAAAATTAATTTACAATATTTTCAGGTCGAATTGACTCATCTCGTTATTGATCCATATATATATTTTAACATTCTATCCTTCTAAAAAATATATAACAGTAAATCTAACCCAAGAATATACTATGCCTATTGCGCAATATACAGACGTAGCTAATAACGGTATGAACTGATATTTGCCATCGCTAAATGCGATTTGATGTACAACACCAGTGAAAAACTGTAAAATAACAAATCCAACAATGTACACATTTTCTAACAGATGAACAAATGTGGATGTCACTGGTTTCGGCGCTGTTCTGCTTTCGGATTTACTAAAATACAAAAAATAATCATTAGAATAAAATGAAATGTACTACCTTTTGACATAAATGTATCTTACTGTACGTATAGAATGTTTGTGATAGTCCTAAGCAAGTCAATACTATCCATAATACACATATGGATAGTTTTATTATTGTTTCTATTTAAGCAATGAACACTTTGTGTTAAATTTTTTGCATTATAATTGATTTATGAAATGAAATAGACAATTTAAATACAAGCCTGTAGCTTTAAAAAGAAGAGGGAATAACGAAAATAGCCCAGATATTGAAAGAATGATGTAAGTACGAAAATGTTCCAGACTTTCTGTTGCGATCAACCTATAAAATATAATTATAAAGACGACAATGTAAAACTGACGGTATTTAAGACTTATTTTAAAATGACTAATAAGACGAATAGAACTTGAATTGATACCCGAAGGGAATCATTATCAGTAATACAGCTTTTTCGTGAACATGCCATCCGAAAAGAAAGGAAGAATAACCACATAAAATCGTGGATCCAATGAAATTTTTGAAATTCGGATATCGCCATAATTTGGCGAGTGATGCCTTAAATTATTAAAAATCATTCAATCATATTTTTTAACATAAATATACATGGAAACAATGTAAAATTTACAATTTGAAAGACCATAGTAATAACGAAAGTTGTTTTTGCCGGAACTTGTGGTAATACGGCAAAGCTAACATCACCAACTAATCCTCTTGTAACAGATGAAGTTGCTATATCGTTTAATCCCCATCCTAACTGCCTAAAAACTATTATTTAATAAATTATTAGTCAACCTCATAACGATTCATATGCCGTTAGTGAATTTAAAGAATAAATATGTTACCAATAATTAGAACACGATCCATAAAAGAATATAATGCCCAAAAATTTGGAGCCCAGTATGCATGACAAAGACCTCTTTTGAAGGGAAATAAACGAGAAAACACTTGTCCCAATTGGCCCATATAAAGGAATGGCCCGAAAGACAATGAAAAGATCGACATGACTGAAAGTCCAAGGATTATAAAATTTGAATACGAAAAATTTCCAAAATCTATAAAAAAGGATTAGTTTAGGTAGCAGTTGAGACAAATAGTAAACCATATTTAAACATAGCGTTATAGCTTAGCCTTTTCTGACCTTGACTCCCAGGATCTTTAAAACAATAATGCCTTAACAAATAGACGAAATAGGCAGGGGCAAGATATAGAAATATGTGTTTGAAATTCAATAAAATAGCAAATATGATTCCACATAAAAGATCTTTGCCCTTACATAAGTTGAATGAAATCAATTTTATAAGGATTTTATAAAGATCTAATTGATGAATATAATTTTTATAAAGTTACCTCTTTGGCATATGTTAACGAAAGTAAGAAGATACCATAAAGAAATCCATTATATTGAAAATGAACGTGTTTGTAGATGTCAAGGGATATAATTCATAATCAAAAATGAATCACTCATACTAAAATCAATTAGATCAATTAAAATATAATTTCATCATAATTGAATAATAAGCAAACATTAAGAAAATCTTGTGAAAATCAAAAGGATATGATCAACCATCAGAAGACCAGGATTCAAAAATATTGATGCGGCAAGAATATATGCAAAATTTTTATTTTCTGAATGCATAAAGAATCTAACAAAATTTATGTAATATTAACTTGTTAAATCATAAAATTTCTTAATTTCAAAAAATGATGAATCAACAATAATAATTTGCTACCTTTTCAATGCATAGAATAGAACTAATTCGGTAATAATAACAGTAGTACGTTGAAAGTAAATGGTCTCATCACTTGCGTAATCAAGATTATCCACATTAAGCATGTTTTTATCCCATAATGACGCGAATTGTGATAAGAACCATTCGAACCAGGCGAAAAATGGTGGATAATCCAGTGTCCATTCACTTCTGTTCTTAAAATCGAAATTATGGGGAAAAAAAAAAAAAATCAATTATTGCTTTTAAACAAGCGTGAACTGTCAAAAATAAGTAAAATCACCTCGTAATACCATTCAGATACCGGAAGACTATGAGTAATAGCGAGCCAATTACGATGAACTTCGAAATCTGTCGAACGACTTAAATAAAATTATTTTATTTTATGCATACCTCCATTCAATAAGAAACTTGACAAAAAAAGAAAATGTATTTACTATGCAGGGTAAAGTAATAATTTGACGAATGTGCTAAAGATTAATAAATGATACATATTAAGCTATAGCAGAGAGAATTAGCGATAGAACGATATACGGGTCCGCTAAAACAACTAATCTAAGATCGGTAGATATAATTAGATATAGAATAGCTTTCTTGTGATTGGTCGATCACTAAGGCAAGTGTCCCTGACTCACGCCGGATTCCCTTATGTCAAGAAAATCGATGTACAAAAATTAGCTCGGAGCCAATAAAAATTGCAGAA